AAAAAAATCTGGAATTTCAAAAAAGGAATTTGAATGTTATATCAAAAATTGATCAATTTATCTTTAATGTGAAAACATTGCTATTTACAAATCTCATAAAATCTTGGAGAATACTATAATAGTTCAACTCTAACTGAAGCTAATTGACCTCTATGGATCGTGTCCGCAATAGAGAATATCCGAGTATATATTACCTCTGCATTTATCTCCTAGTTTCCATTTATCTATATAATCACGCATTGAGTTTCCGGTATTTAATAGTACGGAAATGCAATCTAACTTAGCAGGGGGGTTAGAATCTTATTTCAGTTATCGATTATTATGATTGATGGTGTTATAAAATTCTTGAGTGTTTCTTTTAGTGAACCAAAGCGAAAGCAAAGTAATAATATTTTCAAAATTAAATGAAGACTTTTGAACGGTACAGTTTTCGTGGCTCATTTTATGAGAACAATAGTTAATCCTCTGACAAACCATGAATTTAGTATCAATTGCTTTATTCAAAATTATTAGAGAGCTATAAAGAAGAAGTGGTACAACCAACCTCAATTGTATAGATTCTAATATAATTTTTGTTTGTACATTCCATATCTCATCATTTTGAAATTGAAGAAAATTCAAACAAGTTTGAAGTGATTGCGTTATTACTATAGTATAATATTTTACACCATGACCTGGAGATCTGTTGTGTCCATTGTCTCGATAAAATGTGATATTGAAGTTACTTTATCGTTCCTTTATGTGTTATAAAATGTCCATTTAGATTTTTCTCTTGTTCTTGTATCAGTATTGGGTAAGGTCCCACTACGTGTTTTGTGGTTTCATTGCTTTTTCCTACAAAACTTTCAGTCTCCATTATAATAAAGTGCCCGTTTTGTAAGGTGATTGTCCAACTTATAGTACCCTGTCAAAATTCATGTAATTTTTTACAACGTTTTAAATTGACAGTCTCTATAAGCGATTTTTATAGTAATAGCCCTGATAGATTGCCCCGGTATAACTTTCTCCGGAATAGTAGGAGAGTATCGCCGATGATAAGTAAATGATCTACTAATTGACAATAAAATATACAGATAATACACTGCAAAACACTAACAAAATAAAATTTATAAAATCCGTATTGTAGATAAAGTTAAAGATCTTAGGTTAAGTTAGATGAAGATTTCATTTTAAGTTAAGTTAGGTTACTATGGCAGCCAATCAATCCGATTGGCCAGCTTACTTAGACAGAAGATCTATTTTGTTCGTGGTACGTAAACTGGCAGTTAATTATAGAATCGTTTCGAGGCTCTAATAAAGCGAAGGGTGTTTTTAATTTTAGCGCTGGATATTTCTGTGCTAGAGCTTACAATATAATTGTCTAACAAAAATCAACCTGTTTCTGACTAGAGCTGAAACAGCTGCAAAAGAGGTGTTGTACTAGGTGTGATCTTAATAACTATACAAGAATACGAAGTGCCTTTTTACAAAGTAACAATATGTTTTATTACTAAGAATGGCCTAAATTTCAACTACTTTATATCATATATATTAATATAATATATATTATATAGTAGTTAACTATAATAATTTAAGTTTCACGTTTTATGTATCTAAGAAATTTGATACAAAATTCACTTTTTTGTTAAATTTTAAATTAAATTTTTATAATAATTTTTATACTCGTAGTATTCCATTTTAAATTTTTTATAGATTATTATTCACTTACCACACTAAAAGTATTGAAGAGTATTAAAGTCCATTGCAAACAGACTCTTGCCGAAGCCATTACTGTTTACAATTTTTTATTGAATTTTTTATTTAATTTTTTTATTAAATCTTTATTCCGTGTATTAAATGTTTTAATATATTTTTGTTCTTTAAGTGATACACAATAATATATATTAATATTTACTGTACTATAAATATATTGGGATTCAATATGAAGTAAATTTCTTGATATATTTACACTTCTCAGGCGTTAGCATTTACTCACTGCCAATTTTCTACTAAATTTTTCACTTTCCTCAAACATAAATTTTCCTATATCGCTGAGAATAAAATTATCTTCTGCGGTTTTTTTACTCTTCAGTTTATATATTTTTCGCACCATTTTTTATATATTCAATTTTTCAGTATTTTATTAATATTATTTTTTTTAAACAATTCGAAAATGGGCGGCTGTTAAGCTTTGTGGCTTTTTATCATTTTCTGTTACTGCTGAGCTTTTCTGTGTACTTAATGTGTAGTCTGTTGAATTGTGTAATTTCAAATAGTACTTGTGTGTACAAAATGTTATCTGGAGAACAACATTTAAGATTGTGTATATATTAAAAGAGGCGCTTAAAACTTATGGTATGAAGTTGGAGATATTTTATAATTTTTTAACAAAAATATGTGTTGGTTCTCATAAAAATAGAAAGAGAGTCTTCACTTCAAGTTTTCAAAAAAATGATTATATCAAAACAAAGTTTTCGTTGGATGGTTTTTTACAACTTTCGACGTGTATTAACATATCAACGTAGTGATGAAACACCATGAAGCACCAGTGTTTATAATTGGCATAATGTATACAAGCATGGTCACAATTTTATCGCCAATGAACATAATGGTAGTCGACCAACATCGGTTTGTATGTCAGAAAACATCGACGTTGTGCACGAGATGAGAACGGAAGACTGTCAAGTGACGTATATTTAATAATAATAGAAATTGATATAGAATTCATTGATACTTATAAGAATTTATTTATGAAAATACAATCAAAACTTTACTTTTCTGGCGTTTCCATCGGTCAACTCTCTTATTAATATATATAATTTTTGTTTTCAACTAACCAAATTTGTCTATCTATATTGATATATCCAATCACAGAAAGGTTTTTATAAGAAAGGTTCCTGACTACATATGAAACGCCATGTTATGAAGTTCATTTCGTCAGCGAGTTCGTTTCCACTGACGTAGACATGATCTGTAAGGCACATAAATACTGCCATTTATTTAAGAAGACTTTTCAAAGTTCCATGGCACATTTGGACGAATGACATCTTTAGGGATATCAAGATTGATCCCATCAAAATATACATAAAGGATAAAGCCCTGACAGACTTACCAACACCGCGTTATCAAATCTCAAAATGGTTACAGGTTCCTCGGGAAGGTATGCAGGTCTGAGGTCAATTATTGCTTAGTCTGATAATAAACAATAATAAACAATAATCTAGTCAAGGTGTAAAGAGGGGTTTTGAAAATACCTCGAAAAAGAGTATAAGTGCTTAAGTGCACTAACTCGAAACAGCTTCAACATAATATATAAATATTTGACTTACCGAATGGCTAATCGTTCTTATTTAAATTTATTTCTTTTTTTTTATTCAAAGTATATAATATACTATGCTTTGTATTCAAAGCATATTTTCAAGAAGAAACATCGATGCTATCGAGTTATAATAGTGCCGTTTAAAGCGAAAGATATCTGTAACTTGGCTTTAATTGTAATATAATATAAATAATAATAATAAATAATAAATAAACAACAATAATATTAGTCTATTCAAAACTAAATGAAATCAAAAAACTTTTTTATACATTCATTAATTAAAAAGTCACAAGACTTTATATACAAAAATTAATTTATAAGATCATAAATAAACCAATCTGACTATATGATTGTCAATAATAGACATTAAACAAAACCAACATAAAAGCTAATTATTAACAAAATTTTAAATAGAATATTACGCACCATTAGTAACTGCTATCAATAGATCAGTGATGACTAATTCTAGAAAGATTTAAAAATCTTACCTGTTGATGATGTAATGGATCAGCATGCTACAAATTAAAAACATAAATTACTTCATCAAAGTCACATAGTTCTGACTCAATTTACCTACATCATTTACCATTTACTTTATATAAATTTAATAGGATAATGATATTGTATGACTTAATTATTTGTAAAAAATAAAACAGTTAATAAAACAGTTAATAGAGCAATAATTTTAATTAAGATGGAATGTACATGAATAATTAGGAGAAATATAAAGAGAGATAAACTATATCCAAACAATAATACAATTCAGAATAACATTTCAGCTTCTTTAAAAGTTTTCTATTTTGGTTGACTTTTATCTTCCATAGAGTAACCTTAACCTTAACCTTAAAACTTTTATACTTAAAAATATCAGTTTTTGTTGTGTATATTATTTACTTATTTACTTATTTATTCACTACCACTACCAGTTAGTCTTAAATTGGAACCGAATATACAAATACTAATATTTTGTAGTCATTTACATCCCGACTCCGTGACTATATTTCACAACAACTTTACGTGAACCCACAGTACTAATAAAATAGTTTATTTCTAAATTTTTGAGTGGAGTAGTCAGATTAGTATAGTAAATATTAGTCATGTTTTAACGTAATATTTTTAATTTTGATGTAAAAGCTACTACTATTATTTAATCTAAAATAAATAAAAATAAAAGACATTTCAAATCGCTTGCATCACAATATATAGTATATATGTACCATACATATAGTTCCTACACATAGTACGATATCATTTAATTAATAATATTTTTTTTTAATGTTGAATGATGAAATTAAAATAATATTGTTATATTTTTTCATGGTAAATAATTTTTAAAAAACATTATTGCATATAAAAAATGAATTCCCAAACTTTACAGTTTAATGTGGGACAACGCTGCGTATGAGTGATATTTGATTTATTTTCAATGCATTTGAATCTTCCTTTCAAAAGTATGACCCAATATCAATACATATTAATATTAAAATATTAAAGTATGATAATAAATACTTGTTATTTTTTAAATATATATTCAATTTTTATATATGTATATTTACACAAAAATTTTAAGAAATATATTCACGTGTATATAAGCAAAAAGGGTCCAAATCATTGATAAAACAATTATTTTTGATGTTATTCAATATGATATGTATTTAATAAAATACTTTAGTTTATTAATATTATTAATACAATTACTTGTTTTACTTAATTAAATACTTAGTCACATTTTTTACATGAAATACCAGTAGTTTTAAATGAGCTCTATGATTCTAGTAATAATAAATATAGTAACATACATACACAGTGATTTACTTAAAGCTCGTGCAAATCACAATTAAATTAATTTTAAAACTTATTAAATATTTAAATTTAAAATATGTTATTAAGTATTATTTTGAAAAAATTCCCAAACAAGATGGCTTGTACTTTGCTGCTGTCCATCATTCTCAAATTAAAATTGCATTCGCCTCTGTTTGTTACGGAAATTAATAACTAAAAATACTGCTAATAAAAATCCTAAAATCTGAAAAATAAATTCATTTATTTAATTATTTTATTATAATTAAATTTAATTTCAATTAGTTACTTCAAATGCAATTAGTATCCAGGATACAACGAGAAATCGAATATCGTTGTGTTGATAATAGGATTGTAGTTTGACACTGCACCCGACGGTGTACATATAATTCTCATCTGCTGTGTTTCCATTGACATAGCAGCTAGCTGGAACTGATTTATTTAGGAGTATGTAATCTTGTGGACTATCCTTGCCACAGCACTGATGGTCCGTTTGCAATGCATCCATTTCATTACGGTTCCATGCTTGATCAACTATTCCATCGCGTCGTTTATATTCAACCATATCGGAATAAGTGGATATAATTTGCAATATAGCCAATATAAGTAGGAAAACAGCGCACTTTGTTTATATTTAAATATTAAATTATTATCATTAATTATTTAATAATCATATATTATTCAATTATTATTTATTTACTTATTTAAAAAAAATGATTTTTTGATAATATTTTTGAATTAACTTACCAAAGCTGTAAGGCAAACTGATTCTTTGATTGCTGCAAAGCATCCCAGGAACGAAAAGAGAACAATTAGCGAGCAAACGACGTAAGCCCCTATAGCCATTTCTCGACTCAGATTATCAGGATTATTAGCAATCCACCCAATGGCACCGAGTCCAAGCAACTATATCATAAATAAAATCATATAAGTTTTTTGTATAAAACCTTTAGAGAGAATTATATTAAATAAAAAATATAGCAAAGATCAAAAAATATAGATCTTTTAAAATTAAAATATATGGTATTCTGAGTTAAAAATATTTTATAAATTTTTAAGAACAAGGCAGTATGTTTAAAGCTTTATTTATGATCAAACAGATTCGCATCGCAAGCTTTGACGGTAATAGCTGAAATTCGTAAGCGTCTAAGCGAACTGAATCCAC